CTGACTTTAAAAAAAAAAAAAAAAAAAAAAAAGCCCAAACAACATTTCAATTGATGGATAAGAATACATAATAATTCCAAGTGCAGCCCTTTATATTTTTAGGAATGCCAGCAATCTGAACTTGAGCTAAAACAGTAAGTTGTATACCATGGGAAATTCAAATTTCTTCTTAATTCATTTGTGCCTAGCCAATTGATATCTCTTAAGAAACATTGTAATCAGATTTGTGAACAACAGATTTATGAGCCTTGAAGGTTTTATTTAAGGCTCTTCATGCTCTTAATTGGTAGGACAGCTGGGAATGGTGTCCTTTCCTAATCAAGCTAGTCTTCGTTAACCAGTTGAATACGCTTTAAATTTATATTCTTAAATTTAGTGGTATCTAGGTTAATACTTCTGTATTCTAGTTCTAGCTTAGTTTGTACTGTGCTGTGTGGCAACGGAAAAGATTAACTAGGAAATTATTGTTTTGTCTGTTTGATACTTAAAATTGCAATATAGCGCAGTATTGAGAGACTGACACCATCTCTTTTTGAGAAGGGTGTTGTGCCATTTGAGTACCAGCTGCTCAGTGACGAACAGCAAGTTTAAAGTTCACTTTCTAAGGACACCAGTGATGTGTGCACGTAAATACCTGAAGATGAGTCTTGGAAAGGGAAAGGACTCGTGCACTGAGTTCTTGTTTCTAAGTCTCCCAGTAAGGAATAGCAAAATTAAGTAGTTGTGCATGTATAGTAGTATAATGTGTACATGCATCTTTATCTCTTCATTAAACCAGAGTAGGGCTATCAAATTTATTTTGAAGTTTTTGGACTGCCTCACTGCCAGTGTTTGTTTAACCAAGCCTTACATATTAAATTATTCATATTTTAATCTAAATTTATGTGTCTTTGTGTTTCCAGGACAATTCTGTGATTAAAATCAATGAATAAACTGCACGTAGAAAGCAAGAAAACTAGAAATAATACAACTTGTCCCAAATCCTTGCTTCCTTCCTTTCCTTTCGTGCCTTCCCTTTTCATGTCTTGATTTTTCTCATTTTTCTAAGTCTCAGAAACTTACGATGAAGTGTTGAATTGTTTCAAGCTATGATACATGACCCACTGTCACTGAAAAGGGAAGATCCTTTTCCTGGTGTTATTGTTCTTTGCTTGTGCCTTGGACTGACTTGGTGATAAGCAGTTTCAGTTTATTAAACTGGCAACAAACTAATGAGGCAAAACTAGTCAATTATTTTCTGTGGGGTCAGTTGAATCAGTTCAGTGTGAGGGTCAGATGAGCACCAGATGACACCCTCAGAAGAACTCTGTGTGGGTTTGGTTTTTTTTGTTTTTTTAGTAATCTTTTGAACATCACAGTATTTTATCTGGCAAACATCACTGAGTGCTGTAAAAAGTTAAGTGGTCTGTTTATCTTTCCAATCTTGATGAGAATCCTAAAAGCTGTATTTAATTGTGTCTAATTTTTTAATGATTACCGGAATGTGTTCTTGTGGGTGCCATTTTAGAGATGAAATTATTAAATGTACAAACCGTAGTGTTCTTATTAAAATCAAAAAAAAAAAGGCAAAAAAAAAAAAAGGCAAAAAAAAAAAAAGGTTTTCCAGCTTACATGAACCAAGAAAAACTGGGATACGTGTTTCATGGTGCCCTGAATACAGAGGTACAGGCATGTCCTAACTGAAAGCTTGAGTCTGAGTTTAGACTATAAGGAGCTTATTTTCATTGCATTGCATCTTCAGTCAATTTTACACAATTTTATGTGAAAATGGTGAAATCCTTAATGCCAATGCAAGGTTATTTTTAATGTTCCAGTCTTTAGGGAAGCAAGTTTTATTTTTAAATGAGTTCTGAAGTCATCTCCCAGCTTTCGTTAGGGGCTAGGGATATCCTTGTTTTTTCTTCCTCTCTCTCCATTAGCTGAAAACATGAAGGCAATGGGAATTTGGTGAAAAGGGAAGAAGCGAAGTGTTTGTAGGGCTGCTGAAGGTTTGCCTAACCTATAAGATACTTGAGGCTGTTAGAAGTAAATTATTTAACAGCTTTATAAGTATTATTTATTTATATGATAAATATTGTTTTGCAATAATACTTTGTGCTTGTTTAAAAAATACAATTTCTGATGAAACTGTATTTTCAGTAACACTATCCAAATCTTATCCAAATCTTTCGTCATGGCCCATTAACCTACTTTTTTGGAAGTTTCACCAGGATCACTTTTACCCCAACAATGTTAATTTTTTTGCTAGTGAGATGCAAGAGAATCTAAAATCACTGTGACTTTATATTTGTACAAGATTGATATGGTCAAATTACTAATAAAGAAGGATCAAGAGAGCTTGTGAAGCTTGGAGTCAGTCAGTATAATGATTTTATGTGTATATTAAAAGATAAAAACCCGTTGAAATTAAATGTAATACTGAATAAAATGGTTTTGTTGATGAAAATGAGCTAACTGTTTTTCAAAAAACAAATAAGCAAGGAATCCTTGCCTTTCCCTCTTCTCATTCTTCCCCCAGTATTACAAGTCTGTCTGCAAAACAGTCACTGGACTGTTTTAATGGCTTTCTGAAAAAAAAACTGTCCTTGGCTCGGTTTGACATTTTTTTAGTGAGATATCCTAGAAGAAATAATGCAACTGTAACCATTATAGCTATACAATATGTTGTACTGTCTTTATTCAAAGACAGTTTCACCGAGGGTTTGGAATGACATTGTAGACGGGGCTCTCTTAAGCAATTTCTATTGAGGAAGCATAAAACTGTTACATTTGAAAAATGGAAGTCACTATTCTGGAATTAAAATTAAAACTTTCGTCTATACTAGGTGAAAGGCAAGCTTGCAGGCTGATGTGGTAATCTAGATTTACACTTACTTAAACAAGAAATATATCATCTGGAGGGAGTAGCAGGGTTTTGGTAGCACTGTGTGAAGTTTGTACATAGTTCCAGGGTGTCACGTTTGAAAAGCGGGAATCTTTCAAAGACAAAAAAAAAAAAGATTGTTAGTGAGAGTATTTTATAGAAAGTATTTTCTCGTATCATTTACACGAACACATTTAATTGTTTTGATACAGCTACTTTGTTAAAGAGAAATGGTTTCCTTGCAGGCTGTTTTTTCCTGGAGCATTAGATTTTCACATGCAGAAATGTAATGCTACTGTGTATTTCCTCTGTCTTCAAAGTTACATTCTTCTGCTTTGCTGGCAGCTTTATTATTATTTCTAAAGCTGATTTTCCTGAGAGAGTACTACAGGTTACATGAAGATGCAGACAGGGTAACCATAAGCTTCCTAGACATCGTTGCCTTGGCCATTTCATATGCATCTATCAAATCACTTTCATAGAGGGGATTTGCTGAGCTGCTGCTCCAAGTTTGAACTTAAAGGGTCCTTCCTACAACTTTCCCCAACTTCTGACTTTTAAGATTCGGCTGGACAGGGTGCTGGGCCGTCTTGTCTAGACCGTGCTTTTACCAAGAAAGGTTGGCCCAGATGATCCTTGAGTTCCCTTCCAACCTGGTATTCTATGATTCTGTGACTTCCAAGAAAAGTGTTTGTTTCATTTTCTCAGTTTTTCAACTGAGAAGAATGAAAAAAGTTTTGTTTAAATGCCCATTTAACTGTACAGAAGTGTTAGTTAACAAATCAGATATTCTGCCCCATTCAGAGAAGAAACAACTGCTTATGCACATCCCTTTCCATGGAGAGAAAGGACACTGAGTGCCTTTTTTATCTTGTGTTTGGAGTCTGAGTATGTATTGCATGTGATGGCCTTGGTTTGGTTCTCGACTGCAGCCTTATATCACCTCTCCATAGGTACTGGAGGACACGTCCAGTTTATGTAGAGCAGTGTCACACAATGTGTTATACTTTGGTGACAGCTGTGTCCATCTATGTATTCTGTGTTCCTTAACATTTAATTCCTTTCCGTCACGGACTACTTCCATTATACTTATCAAGACCGTATTGTGCAAATATTTAAGACTGTTGCATGTAGTTAAGTTACGAGATATCATTGCTGGATTACCAGCATGTATGATCTGTTTTATCAGAGTAGATTATTTATGACTTAAATTTTTTTTATTTATTACTTTTTTCAGGTTTTAAAGCCTGAGCTTAATCATGATTTAAAGCAGAACAATTTGGTTTCAAATTTTGTTGTTAATTGTTTTCTGTTGAATAAAACCCTAAAATTATTTATTGACTCGTAAAATCATTAAGTATGATAATTTTAAGTGTGGCTTTGCTGCTGTATTTAGTGCCTTATTAAGTAGTCAAAAAGCATAATATATATTTATGGGTATGCAGTATTTAAGATTTATATTAGAAAGTGTAACATTGTCCATGATTTTTCAAGCTAGAAATTTTGGCTTAAATACTTTAAGTTGTTAAATTAGAGCATTGCTGCTTAACTTACCTGTTTCAAGAACTGGAAAAGCACTAACATTTAGAGAACAATAAGTACACCATTATTCTTGCGCGTCAAAAAAAAGGAGAGAGATAAATCCATGAATGTAAGATGATATGTCATTTTTTTAAAAGTCTGAATTTAAAAATGAGCTGAAACTGATGTTTTTGTTAAAAATCTGACAAAGTTGTTTAAGTCCTTACTAATTGCCATTGAGTCATCATGCTTTGTTTTAATGCATACAGTAAATCTAGATATGAGCAGGGATTGCCATAAGTTTTATTTTGAAGAGGTTGACTTCTAAAAAGCGTGTTTTATAGTTCTTGTGTTAATGCTTAAAATTATTGTATTTTAAAATCTGCACTACTGCTTCAGAAGGGAGATTATTTAACACTATTGACCACTAGTGTTTTGCTGGCTTCTGCTTAATTAATTATTAGTGATCACTTGCTGAATATATAATTCTTTTTCCCTTGTCAACTGAAGTGATGATATATTTACAGATTAAGCAATCTTTTAGCTCATGTTAATTAAAAAAAAAAGCTTTATTAAAAAGTATTTCAGCAGTTTTAAAACAAGCTCTTAATTTTAGATTAGTGAAGACCTGAAAAATGAATTGGCAAATGAGCTGTATACATCAACCCCTGGCCTCAGCATGACTAAAGTAAAAGAACAAATGTTCTATAAGGTAAGTAGAAATTGGTAGGTTCCACAGATTTGCATTCATTCTCTTTCAGTTAAACTTGGAGTTACTAATTTTAATTTACAAAATACTATTGCTAACAGTTAATCAAAGTATTTAAATTAACTGAGACTAATGAGAGTTCCTCTTCTTCATGTCAGTATAAGGGTAGAGGGAGGGACTGGGAGACTATTAAACTACTATTTAAACTACTATTGATGTCTTCTGTCCTCTTCTGCCATCCCTTGTCTTTTGCCACAGAAATGGTCTTAAGTTTTAACGTTTCTCAGACAAATGGCTTAACTTGCCTGGCTGACAGGCAGTTCAGGATGGAGACATTCTCAAACATCTGTTGCTGAAACTAGGTTTGGTCTGATTGTATTAGTCTGAAATTCTTTTTGCAAGAGAGCAAGGGGAGAGGAAAGAAGTATCTAATGCAGCCCACTGATTCTTCTTTGGAGCGAAGTTGGTTGGGTTCCAGATCTGTTTCCAAGACCTTTTATATGTAGCTTGAATGAAATAATTCAAGATGCCTGAAACAGAAGGCCAACAGCAGTCCATTTTCAAATATCAAATCAGTAAGTGATGCAAAGCTACATAATTAGGCTAATAATCATGGATACAAACTTTAAAGTAGCTTATTTTGCCTAGTGGCATGACTTTCTCTAAGTAAACAATATTTTTCCACCAAAATAATGATCAGCTATTCTGAAGTCAACATTTAATTTCAAAATCTTTGCATTTTGCCTCGATAGAGCTTTGTTAAAAGACAGAGAATGACTTAAAGCTTTACTGGTCCATCTTGAATCTTAGGGTTGTAAACGTTGTTACTGCATTATTTTGCTATTCCACAGTGTGGGTTTTTCTTCTTTCTCAGGTTGGACTTGCAGATGCTGTGGATCTATTTAGAGCCAGAAGAGTGTTTATTAAAGACGGCTTTGCATATGTGCCACTTAAGGAGATTGATGCGATTGTTTTGAATAATTATAGAACAAAGTTATCTAAAGCACTGGCGGTAAGTCTGATAAAGTCTGATTTTTTTACAACTTTTGTTGTTTGCTACTTGGACAGTAGCCTTTTGGATTTTTAAATTTATCTGCTTCTATCTGGAGAATACCAGAAACCCTATCAAAAGGGCTGACAGCACTAAATAAAAGTTCATTATGAGCTGAGAGTTCATTAATTTTAAATGGAATTTATCATGTGATGTGCATTGTAAAGAAATCTTTGCTAGAGGATTTTAAAATTGTTTCCCACATAGAGAGTAACGTGACTTTTCATTCAAAATATTAGCCCCATACAGACAACTGTTTTTTCTCTTTTTGTATAGATCTTTTCTCCCAAAATTTTGCAACAGTTTTTTGTTGAAACAAGTAAAATAGTGATTTGTGGCTTCTTTTCTTTTTTCTTTTGTTAGTGAGAACTGGAATGAGGGTAAGTCAGAACATGTCAGGCAAAAATAAAGTCTTCATTGTATGAATGTTTGAGGTATCAAATCTAGTTAGGACACCTATGGTAAATACTGTATGTGAACGTTCTTCTATTAGTAATTCGGTGATCAATTTAGGAATTGCTAGTTTTACAATATTAGACTCTTCACAGGGTTTAAAAGTTGGTGATCATGTATAATGCACAGAATTTTAATCCAGGAAAATATGGGATTGAATAACATGAAGGCAGTTTGGATTGCTTTTTAAAAAGGTTTTCAAAGCCTTATATTGCTATGTCACAGTAATACCAAGGTTGACCATGAGTGTTTAGTAAACAAACAGTGTGAAGTAAAAATAGATTCCTTTAAGAAGCTGCCAATATCCTAATTTTCTGATTGTTAATTTTGAATATAACTGGAGTCTGTGGAATTATTTAATGTGCAGTGAAAATCGTGATACTCTTATGTGAACATTTCCATTAGAATTCTTTAAAACAACTGCAGCTAGAGACATCCTTATTTCAATTGACACATAATGTTCTTGCTGAAAGCTGCTAACACTTGTGTGGGATTTAAAAACAATGAATGTATTCTATAGAAATGTGGCTAAGTATGCAGGTTATCTGCATCTACTTAAAATACTTTTGAGAAGCTTCATGGACTTTTGGAATTTGCCTGTTTTGTGAGTAGCTGAGGAGAAGTCTGAAAAACAGTAGGAGCTGTAATGAGTAGGCTACCTGATTTTTCAGTTTAAGGAAAAATCCGCAACTTTTTCTAATGAACACACACTATCTTATATATAATTCATTTAACCCAGATTACTTTGTTAAAGCCAATAGCTGCTTTATAGTAAAGAAGTACTTCTTTATGTTATTCTTTGTAATGATGGTTTAGAAACTTTAACACTCTCATGAGCTTGGAAAACTACGTTCTATAGAACTGCGATGTTTTAAGTTATTGCAGTATTTCAGGTTTGCATTAGTTTTTAGTTTTAATACATACATTTATTAAAGTTCACCATATTTTCAGTGTTAGGAGTAAAAGAAGATTAGTGATTTATGTCCTATTCCAAAGCTCCTGATTGAAGTTGTGGGGTTTTGATTACTAATTTAGTTTGCAAAACTACATTTAATAAGCTGTTTCAGCTAATTTTAGCCCGCATAGTGCACTGCTGAGAGATGCTAGGAATATTATTAAATTGAGTCTTTTGGAAATGAGGGCCAAAAATCCAGCATGTTTTACAGGGGACAATCTATCGTTATTCTGTTATACCAAACATAACTGGAGTGTGACACTTGGTAGCTGGATAATTAGTGTAGTTTTCACCGGAACAAAACTATAATTATCAATTACATTTCAGTGAAACTATAAGAATACACTTTTAAAGAAAGGACTGCACATAAGGAATCTTTTTAAAATCTAAAGATGGTAATGGTTGCTGTTCCACAACATAAAAATTAGGAGGATAATCTTTAGCGATTTTCCTCAGCCTTATCTGGAGTGAAGAGGCACATTTCCATAGAATTTATGACACAGTAGCATACTTCCAGTATTATTTGTGAAAAGTAGTAGTTGAAATACTATTTGATCTAGGCCTAAGTTCTGCAAGTAGTAGTAGTGCTTGGTAATTGTCCTGGTTTCGGCTGGGATAGAGTTAAATTTCTTCCTAGTGCTGTGTTTTGGATTTAGTATGAGAAGAACATTGATAACACACTGATGTTTTAGTTGTGCTAAGTACCCTGCTAGTCAAGGACTTATCAGCTTCCCATGCTCTGCCAGGTGCACAAGAAGCTGGGAGGGAGCAGAGCCAGGACAGCTGACCCAATTGACCAACGGGGTATTCCATACCACATGATGTCATGCTCAGTATATAAATAGGAGGTGTGGTCCAGGAAGTAGCGATTGCTGCTTAGTTATCAGTTGGTGGGTGGTGAGCAATTGCATTGTGCATCACTCATTTTGTATATTCTATCATTATTATTGTTGTTGTTGTTATTATCATCATAATTTTCCCTTCCTTTTCTGTTCTGTTAAACTGTCTTTATCTCAATCCACGAATTTTACTTTTTTGTTCCCGATTCTCTCCCCGATCCCACTGCGGGGGAGAGGGGGAGTGAGTGAGCGGCTGCGTGGTATTTGGCTGCCTGCCAGGTTAAACCACAACAGTAATACTTCTGTAACACATGGATGTTTGTCTGTGTCTGCTGTCAAGGAGAAATCATTCAAGAGAAATGTGATGAATTTCAGGCACTATGATAGTTTAGAGGTCTTCATGACTTTGCACAGAAGTTGTGCATCATGGCCAAACTTAATTAAGACGTAATAGGGCTTTAAACAGCATCACTGATTTGTTATTTAATTTGTCTCTTAATGAATGTATTTTGATAATGTTACTACTTTGGTAAGCATTACTTATGTGTGCTTTTGGGAGTATGTTTTAGTGTTTTTGCAGCATCTGGCCATTTACGCTTTGTTCTCAGGACTTTCTAATGGGCAATCCTCATTTTATTAGAATTTGAGAATTAAAGATCTTAATGATGTGATAATCCAAATTAGGCTTGAATGCTATTTCTAAAGAAGGGATTTGTATCTTCACAGGGTCATAAAATTAGGCTGAATGCTTTTATCTTCTATGAGGTAGTTTGACTTTGGCCGATACTTCTGGCTTTGTCAGTCTGTTATAAGCTTCAAGGGGACAAAATACCCTGAATAAAGATAGTGGAAAGGCAGTCTTTCAGGCACATAGTTTTGAGGAATCTTTCTTATGGCTCTGATTAGTGGTTCAATTCTTCAACGTTAAAGCAGCATAATTTTCCAGTGTGGGTTGTTTGTGTGGTGTTACTGATTATTTGTACTGTGATGCATGTTTTGCCCCTCAGAGCTTGTTTGGTGCTAGTCCAAGCAGCGCAC